ACCAAGGCGTCCCATGAGGATTCCACTATTTAGCCCTCGGCACCAGAGGCTGTCCCATTGAGTGTTACCCCAGTCCCCCGCTAAGTCACCAGGTCTGGCCGATTCCCGCCAGACTGGTTGGCTCCTCGAAGCTGCAAGCCAAACCACATCCATAAACCACATCCACCCTTGCACACTGCAGTGGAAGAACAGAACAGCTGGGCTTGATGGCACACACCTGTGACCCCTTGCATTCAGGAGGCTGAGACAGGAGGATCTGTAAGAGTTTGAGGCCAACCTGGACCATGTAAGGGACCCTGTCTCTTAAAACAAGAAAGAGACAGAGCGTGAAGAGCAGACTGGCAGGCAGCCTCTTTCGAGCTAATCACAAAGGAATGGAGGCGAATTTTCTGCAGTGTAAAGCCTTAGTAACTGTTTTTATCCCTTCGTTTCAAAGTGCCATCCATCAAGTTCTCAAAAGACTCGAGGTGGGAGAGACTGGGAAGGGGTATGATCAGATGGGAAGCAGAGACCCCCCTGTCAGCGGAGAGGGATGCCTGGGCCTCCCTCCCTCTGAAGCTCAGCCCGCATCCTGTGAGCTGGCAGATGGATGTGGGCCCAGACAGGAGCCGCCCTCAGAAACCAGCACTGCCAGCCCCCTGCCTCCTGTTCCAATAGCCAGCGTGCAACGTCTAGCCCAGCGCTGGACGCTCCGGGCTGACAGAGCAGCTGCATCGGAAGAGAACCTGCTCTTCGCTACTGCCTGTCCTGGGAGCAGGACGCTGCTGGTTCCACCTCCTGCCCACACCTGCCCAAGCTCTCTCCTCATCGCTGGGGGACAAAGTGCGGGGGGGGGGGCAGGCACAGGCTAAAGCCAGGCTCCGTCTGCAACTGAGTTATACCCACGGCCCCATATTCCCGTAACTAAAATCAACCGATGAAATCTCAGCCCTCAGCAGGCTGAGGCAGGACCTTGGAAAGTTGGAGGCCAGGCCAGGTTAGTGAGTTCAAATTCACCTTGGACTACAGGGCGAGACCCTGTTTTAAACAATACCGGGCATGGTGGCACAGGTCTGTAATCCCAGCACTCAGGAGCCTGAGGCAGGAGGATCCCCAAATCAGAAGCCATCCTGGGCAATTTATACATCTCAAATATTAAAATAATAATAATGACTGGAATGTAGCTTGCGCTCCCTGGGTTCAATTCCTAATACCCCCAAAACAAAGAAAAACTGGGAGAGAAAAAGGCAAGAGAGGAAGAAGTCCCCTGTTTGGCTTCCAAAGGCATCTTGCCATGGGGCATGTTGCACTGGCAGGGCATCCACCACATCAGCATTAAGGGTTTCTGATAAAAGGGGGCACTCCCTACCCTTGCTTCCAGAAATCAAAGCCCAGGCCTCCAGTGGAACCTGTGGCCCCACAGTGTCTGCAGCTGCACTGCCCCGTCACCTCCCTACCGCAGGGCCTTGGCTTGGTTCACTTTCCTGTCCAGCCTGGGCCTCGGCCGGCTCAGTTTCAGCCCTGGACACACATGAGAGTCAGATTCTCTGGCCCTTGCACCCTCTGCTAGAATCAGGCCACCGTGCTCCTGGCGCGGCCGAGCAGTGACACACTTGGAAGCGGAAGGGGACTTTCTCTGGCTTCCAGTGTCTCCTGCCACCACACACCAGTTAGGAGCCAAGCTCCTGTGTGAATGCCTGGGACCCCAAAGCCGGACACCCACTCCAAGGACTCAGGAAGCCTGTGGGATGTGAAGGAGTCATCCTTTGCTTTTTTTTTTTCCCCTTAAATCTTGTAAACATAGGTGATCCTGAAGCCAAATACTTCACAATCGGAAAATCACACTGAGAAGCCCCAGGCTTGTTTGGCAGTATCTGTCCCAATCTTATCCAGCCCCGAACCCAAGCAAAGAATGAATGGGTGAGCTTTGTGCTCTCTGGTCCACTCGGGTTTCACCCTGCCAGTGTACGAGGGAATGGATGCGACATCAGAACGCAAATCTAGAAACTGCTGAGAAGGGAATTCTTGCAAATGGGAGGCACTGCCGGCTCAGGTGGGGCTCCCATCTACCGATTTTGTTTTGTAGTTAGCACATTTGAATTAAGGCTGGAGCCCAGTCTCCTGGTGCACACCTGTTGTCTCAGTATTGGTGAGGCTAAGGCAAGAGGATCTCAAATTCAAGGCCGTCCTAGGCTATGCAGTGAGTTCAAGAGCAGCCTGAGCTACAGGGAAACCCTGACTCCAAAACTGAGGTCACACTGGACTCAGGTGGGCCCTAAATCTATTAACTGGTGTCCTTGTCGAAGGCCACGTGAAGACCTGGGGACACCAGGCGACAAAAGACAGGGTTGGAGAGATGCCAAGAGTGGCCAGAAGCCACCCCAGAGAGGGAGACACAGGAAGGAATCTCCTCGGAGCAGGCGGGCCCTGGTGATGCCCCTCAGTTTCAAAGACAGAGGACGTTCCACCACAGTTAAGCTTCCCAGTGTGTGTCTCCAGGATACTGATACCCTAGCCTGGCCAGGCAGCCCTGCCCCAGCACAAACACAGCTCAAACTGCAGCCCCTACCCCTCCAGAGCTGGTTCCACAAAGCAGTTTACACAACAGAAGGACAATTCGAGACAAGGCGCGCTGCCTGTCGTCCTACGTCTGCAGTCTCAGCACTCTGGGAGGCTGAGGCAGGAGGATCACACATTTGAAGTCTAGCCGGGCAATTTCCCAACTTTGCAGGAGCCTGTGTCAAGATTAAAGAGTAAATAAATAAAGTAAAGACCTCAGTGTGTAGTTCTGAACTCAGCGACTGGAGCTCCTGGGTCCTGCGTCTTGTGCTAAGGCTTTGCATGAATCATTCATCCCATCCAGCTGCCACCCACAGGTAGGCCCAGAGGACAGGAGCTGCCCGAGCACCTCCAGGAGCCCAGGAAGCCCCGCTCAGCTCCTCTTCCCCACCCCCATACCTGCAGGGCCTGGCACACTTTGGACACTGGGGTTCCATTATGCAGTTCAGGCTGGCCTTGAACTTACTATTAGCCCAAGCTGGCCTCAAATTCATGGTGATCCTCCTGCCTCAGCCTCTTGAGTGCTGGGACTCCAGGCATGCACCACCATGCTCAGCTTCTTTCGGCTTTTCTTTTAAGAGACAGGATTTTCCTAAATTGCTAATTTTTCCAGACCAAGCCCAAACCTGCAATCCTCCTGCCTCAGCCTCCCTGAATTCCAGTTTACACAGGGAGTGCAGAGCCTCAAGGACAGAGACTAGGGGGTACAGGGCCTGGAACTCCACCCTGAATGCCTGCACCCCTCCTTTCAGGGAAAAGGGCACCAGGCCAGTGAGCACTAGGAATTTACCTGACCACAGGAACTAGTTTATAGCCAGGAACTAGTATATAAGCAGTGCTAAAGCCACTCCTCATAAAGTGGGTATGCCAAGGCCCCTGCTGGGGCTGCTCTGTCCACCCCCTTGCCCTGGACTCCAGGAACTCAAGTAGCCACCCGGCCACACCTGAGGCCAGTTCTGGCCTTTTAGTTTCAGAAGCTAAAGAATTCTTTTGTTTATGCCAACTGGGGCTGCAAGCGACAGAAGACCTAACCTAGAATACTGACCAGCAAAGGCAGGTGCAGGGCCGGGAGCTCCACGGGGGACCCAGGTCACACAGTTCCATTCCCCCACTGCTACCTGCTCCCTCACAGATTCCACCCAAGGCAGCCAACTCACAAGTTTGTCCCTCCGAAAAGAGTATTTTGCACTGGGGCGTGTGTCAGAAATCCCAGCGCTCTAGGAAGCTGAGGAAGGACATGCCAAGATCAAGCCCAATTTGCACAACTTAGAAAACCATCTCCAAACAAATCTAAATAAGCTGAGGATGTAGCTCTGAGTTCAGTCTTCAGTACACACACACACACACACACACACACACACACACACACACACAGAGAGAGAGCATTCTGAAGATCAAGGCTCCAAGGATGCCCTCCTCAATCTAGCTGGCCCGGAAAAGCCATGGGACACGGGAGTCTCTGGTTCCTCCCTGAAACGCACACCCTAGGGGCGCCACACGAGTTTGACAAACCTCTGTCCTGGGGCCAGCTTCCAACGCCCCCTGCACCCAGCCCAGACTCAGGATATGGTGCCCGCTGACGGGGACAAATCAAGGGCCATGGATGAGGCAGGGCACATGCGTGCCGGCCACAGCGCCTTTAAATAGAACCTCGCGTCCCACGCGCTTCTGAGGATGCCCAAAGCTGACCTGGCCACGGCCTCCGCTCCCCCATCCGCTATTCCGGTCTCTACCCAATTCTGGAAATAATATTAATAGCTCGATTGGGACTTCACGGTGTGCAAAATGCGTCCCAGCCTTGAAAGGCAGGGGGCCGCTGCGTCCCCTCTTCAGAGGTCTCACTGGAGGCCCAGGCCACCATGTGACCAGCGGGTCCCTCCGTGAAGCTGCTCTTTCCAGCGCCCCAGTGGGTCACAGTCCGGAAGGGGGCGAACCCGGTGGCGCCCCTGAGGCTCCCGGGGCCCACCTGCAGGGCTGCGTCAATGCACCCGTCAGACGGCCAGAGCAAGGCCAGGCTTCGCTTTTCCCATTCATAGAAAGAAAGGAAAGAAAGGAAAGAAAGAAAGAAAGAAAGAAAGAAAGAAAGAAAGAAAGAAAGAAAGAGTACGCGAGGGGCTGATTTCTCCTCTGGGAAGGGAGCTGAGGCTCTCAGAGTGGATTCACCAGCCAACAGGTGGAGGTGGGCACGGGGACCCCCGGACCCAGGATCAGCGGCCATCAGGCTCGGTGTGGAGGACTCCAGCTTGGGGTCCTGGGACGGCGGGGACCCCGCTGCCTACGTTACCTGCATCACCACGCAGACATCGACGGGGACGCGCGGGACCTGGCTGCGTCCGGCCGAAGCAAACGCACACAGGACCCCCGGAACCCCGAGCACCTCGTCCCACCACACGGGCCCCATCGGCCCCTCCGCCTGGCGCCCTCCCCTCCAGGGGCCCCGCACGGTGCCCCGCGTCGCTCACCTATGGAACATGCTCTCCAGGTCCTTGAGGCGGCGGCGGCTGAGCTCGGGGAACTCCGTGTAGGGGTTGAAGACCCGGCAGCGGGGACGCGGCGCCGCACCCTCGGCGAGGTGCAGGCGGCGGCTCAGCTGCGCGCTCAGCTCGGCGTCCGCGCCGGCCGCGGATGCGGGGTCCCGGGCGGCCCTGGGCTCCTCGGCGTCCTCGGGCCGCAGGCGGCGCTGCAGCTTCCCCGCCAGCTCCTCCCCGGCCATGGTGCGCTGGGCTCTGGCGCGCGGCGCGCAACTCTAGGCTGGAGTCGCTCGGACCTCAGGGCGGAGACGCGGGGTGGGGCGGGGACCGCGGGGCGGAGGCGTCCCTCTGTGAGTCCCCGGGAACCGCTGGCAGCAAAATTTCAAGCCGCGCAGAGCCTTTCTGCCTCGTCCCAAATGAGTGGCTCGAAGCCTAGGACGGAGATCAGGGAGGGCCACCCCCAGGTGACACCCACTCGCCCCCAGGTGTCAGGTAGCCACCCCCTGCCCTGGGGTCCGGGAAACGCGGGCAGGCATGCAGGGCTGGAGAGTGTTGCAAACATTTACTGAAAGCTGGGCGCGGCGGCGCACATCTGTAATCCCAGCCCTTGGAAAGCTGAGGCAGGAGGATCACCAGAATTCGAAGCCAGCCTAAGCTACACAGTGAATTCAAGGGCAGCCTGAACCGCACAGCGAGACCCTGCCTCAAAAACAAAGCAAATGCTCTTTGAAATGTTTTCAAAAGAGACCAAGAATAGGAAACAAAGAGGGTCAGACAAGCCCCCGAGTTCCCCTGAGGGGCAGAGAGCCCCGCAGCTTCAAGCTCCCTGTTTTTGTTTTTCCTCCTCTCCCTCTGAAACACACAGGAAGGAAAGAGTTTAAAAATGAAGAAAAAATCAATATTTCCAACAAGAGTGCTCGGACTGCAAGCGGACTGCAAGCGGCCTCCACCCCTGAGGAGCATGCTGCTGCCGAGGTCACCACGGTGAACCCCACTCTCGGCCCCATGAACCGGGCTGACCCTCGGGCAGGGTCGGAGCCACTGCTTCGCACACACAGTACCCAAGAGGCCCTGTAGTCGCTCCCCAGCACCCCCAAATGTTACTCTTTAGAAGCTGTTAGGGAAGATAATTTTCTATACAGTAACTGGGCACAGTGGCCATGCCTATGATCCCAGCACTCTGGGAGGCTGAGGTGGGAGGATGACAATTTCCAGTCCATCCCTGGTAATTTAGTGATTTAGAGAGATCAAAAAAGAAGGGGCACTAAGGCTTCAGCTGAGTGTGAAGGTCCCGGATTCAGCCCCCAGTTGGGGTGGGGCTGTTTATCTCTGCTGCACAATTTACCTGATTGCATGAAAATCGATTTTATGCGTGAGATGAAAACTGGTCAGCCATATATGAACCCATTGCAAGGACTGGGCATGATGGCCCAGGCCTGTAATCCCAGCACTAAGGCAGGAGGATCACAGGGAGTTTAAGACCAACCAGGACTACATAGGGAGTCTCAAGAAAACAAAAAATTTTTAAATAATAAGAGCTGAGAATAATAAGAGTTGTCTCAAGAAAATAAAAAATTTTTAAATAATAAGAGCTGGGAATAATAAGAGTTGTCTCAAGAAAACAAAAATTTTTAAATAATAAGAGCTGGGAATGCAGCTGGGTTCAATTCTGACTGTGAAAAAAATAAATATCGGGGCACAGTGCCTCATGCCTATAATCCCAGCACTTGGGAGGCTGAGGCAGGAAGATCATTGCAAATTTGAGAGTGGCCTGGACTACAAAGTGAGTTCAAGGCCAACTTGAACTGCATAGCAAAACCCTGTCTCAAAAACAAACAAACATTCCTATTGACATGGAACAAGTCCAGGAGGGTCAGTGCCAGCGGTCCAGTGTTATCCCATGAGCTCACTGTGTCACCGACTTCTGGTGTGGCCCCAGGTGGCTCTGTGGCTGGTGAGGAACCATCTGGAGCCCCAGGCTGGTGCACACTCTGGGCTCCTCCCCTTGTTGTCTCTGGGGTACCGCTGCCAGATGGTCCCTTCTGGGGCTCTGCCTGCACCTGGACTCCTGAGTTCCCCGAGATGTAGTTATAATGGAAAGCACTGAAAACCTCTGCCTGCACCACTATGTAGATATCTATTGCTCCTATTCAGGAGGCTGAGGCGGAAGGGTTCCACAGGTGACTTAGTGAGATTCTGTCTCAACATTAAAAAGAGCTGGCGTGGGCAGAGCTTGGCACTAGAAGTTTCCTGCATGGGTGAGGACCTGGGTTCTATCTGCAAAAACTAACAAGAAATAAAACCTATTGTCTCACGAGTCCTGGGCACAGCTGGGCAGCACTGTGCAGGGCTCTCACTGCCGGTGATGTTGTGATAGGCAGCTAGGGGACAGAGATGGGACAGGCAGGCGGGCAGGGAGAATCAACATCACCTTGGCCAGAGTCCAAGGTCCGGAAGGGATGAGCAGAGCTGAGATTATCCTGTCACTGGCAACTCTCCTTTGGGGATTTCCCACAGAGATAAACCTTTATCTCACCTCCTCTGCCCACAGGACAAAGATTAAGACTAAAGACAAAACCAAAACCAAAGACTGTCACCAAAATTAATGATGTTATCCACAAACCCAGCTAGATTCCTAAGCTTTCTTCCTTTTGAGATAGGGTAATTCAGGCTGGCCTTGAACTTGCAGTGATCCTCCTACCTCAGTATCCTGAGTCCTGGGATTACAGGCGTGAGCCACCATGCCTGGTTTAGATTTGGGATTGCATTGGTTGAGTATAGTTGTACCCACCTCGTGATTTTGCCTATACAACATTCCCAGAGAGATGACCTCAGCAGCACCTGCTGGGGGCCCCTCCTGCCTCTCAGGAGTTATTCCTGGTCCCCAATAAATCTTCCCTACTTTAACTTTCTGTGTCCTTGGGAATTCATTCTTCCACTGCAGGGGATATTTTTGTAGATTTTTTTTTTTTTTTTATCGGTACCGGGGATTGAACTCACAACCGCGTGCTTGCAAGGCAGGAGCTTATGCCGCTGAGCTAAATACCCAGTCCCTACTGCAGGGGATGTAAACTTGGCACATCTGGCATCCGGCGGGATTGGAGTTACATTTCTCCTATATCAACATGGACATTTCCAAAATTCTATTATTGAAACTTACTGCATCTCCCCCCCCCCAAACAGAGTCTTGCTATGTAGTCCCAGCTGGCCTCAAACTCTTAGTAATTCTCCTGCCTCAGCCTCCCAGGGACTGGGATGACAAGTATGTGCCACTTCACCCAGCTCAAAACTTACACTTAATGATAAACAGCAACTATTACTAACTGCTCACTTCAGAGGGACGTGGCGTACTCTGTGCCTCCAGATACCAGCTTCGAACAGCCACCCTTTCTAGCCTGAACCACAGAGGGAGACTGTCTCAAAAAACACTTTTTTTGAGTGGTGGGTATGGTGTAATCCCAGCACTTGGGAGGCTGAGGCAGGAGGATTGCTGTCAGTTCAAGGCCAGCCTGAGCTACAGAACAAGACCTTGTCTCAAAAGGACAAGAAGAAGAAGAAGAAGAAGAAGAGAAGAAAAAGGAAGAGGAGGGAAGAGGAGGAGGAGGAAGAGGAGGGGGAGGGAGGGGAAAGCAATCAGAGAGATACCTAAGGAGGGGTGGGGAGGAGCCTCCAGCCTTAGGAACCAGGCTGGAGAAAGTGTCAAGGCATATCACTTAAGGTACAAATTTGCTATGATGAATGTGACCATTATGTTTATCTAAAATGTGTCAATAAAAAATATTGCCTCCTTTAAAAAAAAAATGGCCAGGGGAGGTGACACTTATGTAGGGACCAGCAGGAAACAAGGGGGATGGGAAGGGGAACCATGAGCCCAGAATGTAAATAACACGGAAGTTGTAGGCTTGAAATATCACCCTCAGGTGCCAGCACACACCTGCTACTACTGCAACTGGATTTGTCCTTTTTTGTTCTTTTTAAAATACAAGGTCTCCCTAGGCAGCCCAGGCTGGTATCAAACTCACAGCATCCTCCTGTTTCAGGCTCTTGAGTTCTAGGATCACAGGCGTGCACCAACACAACAGGTTTTAGCAACCATTTTTTAAGTAAAAGGGTGCCTCGGAGGTAGCTCAGTGTGAGCAAGGAGTCCGAAGTTCTGTCCCCAGCGGGAATCCTGTCTCCAGCACTAGAAGGAAGGGAGGGGCGAGCAGGGAGCATGGCGAGCTGTCCCCTCCTGGCTCACTTTATGGGGATGCCTGGGCCTGCCCCACCCTCACCCAAAGTCCTGTTCCTGGCACACATGTCTGGGGCCCGGCTCCTGGGCCCTGTGGGAGCCGTGGGTACCTTCCCTGGGTGGAGGGGACCTTAGGGGCTCGGCCTCCTGGTGCTGCGCATCTGCAGATCACAGGGCTTTTCTTCATCCTGTGTGGTTCAGGGGGCAGAGTCCAGGACCTTTGCCAGGAGCTATGCCCCACCCCCTTTGCACTTTTTAAACTGTTTGTATTTAGAGACAGGGTTGCCAGGAACTCAATCACTGTTACCGAGGCTGGGCTCGAACTTGCACTTGTCCTGCCTCAGCCTCCCACAGTGCTGGGACTATATGGGTGAGCCACCGTCCCAGGCTTGATGTCATCTTAACGCTTTCCCTTCCCCAGACATGCAGCCACCAATGGATGCATTCCTCGCCTTCTGGGGACCAGCACCAAGCACAAGCCCTGCATGCAGGCTGGTCAGGTCTGAGAAATGGCAGCACCTACACTAATCCTGGAGTGGGCAGGTGACACTGGACATAGCCCCGGTGGCCTGCAGGGACTCACGGCGGGCTGTGGAGCAGAGAGGGCTCTCCAGCACTTCTAGGCAACATTTAGTTATGGTTTGGAATTATGGGTTTCTTTTTATGTGTCTGATTTTACTTGTTGGTTGGTTTTTTGAGACAAACTCTTGCTATGTAGCCCAGGCTGGACTTGAACTAATGATGCTCCTGCCTCAGCCTCCTAACTGCTGGGGCAACAGGCGTGTGTGGCCATATCCGGCCACCTGTCTGTTTCCCCAGCCTCAGAGATTTTTGGGAACTAAGCAGACACACGAGGCAAGAACTGTTCCCACGACAAGAAGCCACCAGGAAGCCTTTGCCAGGGTCCGGGAGAGGATGCAAGGGAGGCCCCAGGTCCTGCAGCCGCCTGCCTGGCTCACAGCCGCCAGGGTAGCAGGGGCTCCTCAGACCGCCCCCTTGCGATATGACAGACATGTTTCAAATTATCTTGCCACTGTACTTCATGCTTTTTGTTTTGAGACAGGGTCTGGCTGTCCTTGAATTCACTGTGTAGCTCAGTCTGACCTGGACCTTTTGGCGATGCTCCTGCCTCAGCCTCCCCACTCCC